TGCAACTACACAGCTAAGTCCTACACACTGGACCTTTAAAACCAGAACAGAAATATCAAGATTTTGCTTCATTCTCCGGAGGGCTGGACCCAAAGCCAGGTCTGGACCTGGACTGGTAGCTGCTTTCTGGCAACTCTTGACAGTCTGCCTGTCACCCTGCGGGCACTAAAACCAAGTAGACCTGGCTGTATTAATGGTTTTTCCTACTCTGTGGCAGCCCTCCCTGCGGACACCCCTCTGCTGTATCCCCAACCACAAGGAGAACCCAAACACAACCAGAACCAATACAACCTCTTAACTCAAACTGTTAACTCATAGTCCTTGCAGAGAGAACGCCCCATGTTGTTTTTTTCCAACCTACTGTAGTTGATGTGCAGTCATACAGAAGTGTTTCATCTAAACTGATTTAGATTTCATCTAAAGTACGGACGTTGGACACCCTCCTAGGTCCAGGTCCAGCCCACTGGACAACAAGCTGAAGATGTGCTCAGTGTGTGTAGAGGGGCAGCACAACTGCCCTGTGGACATCCAGAGAGGAGCAACTCAAACAAAACACATATTTATTCCACATAAAAACACACATTTATCTTTGATTGTTCTTCTGTTTTTTCCTTCTTGTTTTAAAATAGAATAACTCATTTTAACAACCTGGTTTTGAAACAGGACAAAATAAAGAACGACAGAGCAGTGATGTCTTACTGATTACTATTATAAGACTAAAAGAGATGATTTATAAACTGGACTAAACTAGAAGCAGCTTATTCTGACCTATATTTATGTTTACTGCCTTTAGTGAAAGGAGAAAGTCACATGATGCAGAGCGACAAAATCGTCTTTCACTCTAGTGACTAGGGTTCGTGTCCTGTGTCAAACCAAAAGTCCGTATTGACTTATTTCATCTTACTTACTTGAGCTAATTTACGTCATATAATGTATGTGTTACGTAGCTCTGTAGTTATTTTTACCCAAACCATGATCTTTTAGCAAACCTAACCAAACTGAGACCATTTCACAGCGTGAACCATGTGAAAACAAAGGTCCAGTACGCCAGTCACTGGTACTACCCAATGTTCATATATGTTGTTTTTGGAGACACTGGTGATAGACCTATTTTTCATCAGTTTTAGAAAATGTATCTTATCCATATCAGCAAGTCTCTTATATTTTATTTTTTACAAAAGAGGTAAATAAGGTTATGTAAATCACTACGGCTGTTATCTGTCACAATAGGTATTTAATTTAGGCTCCTGTTTACTATTATTGCCACCTGGTGGCAGACGCATGCTGAGAGAACGCAGAATAAAACTAAACACAAACAGATTTACAGGTCAGATTGATTTTGGTTCTTACCACAGTGTGAGACTGTCCTGAATCATCTTCTATGTGGAAACCACTGTGGCTTAAAACATGAGTTTAGGTAGATGGTAAACACACAAGACAGGTAGCTTTACCTCATCCAGAGGGATGTTGCCTGGCAGCAGAAGTACATCAAGTACTGGGTACCCTATGTCTGGAGGTCGGAGGTACAGCAGAATTTGGCCAGTTATTGGCACAAAGATTTCCATAAACCTTCTAACGAGATCCCAGACCAGGCCGAAGGCAGAGAGGTGAGGGACCTTCACAACCACGTGAGTGTCTGTAATCTGCAGCGGCTCCAGGATGCTCATTCCATCATCAGTGATGTGGACGACAGACAACAGACCATCAGAGAGCAACGCTGTGAAAGCAAAGAGCAGTTAATCTTTTGTTGAGGCTCATTGATGCAGGTGGGGAGTGAAGGCTGAAAACAGTTAATGCTGGTTCTGATAGAAAGGGTCAGAACACACAGTGCAGAGCAGTCTGATGGTCTGGGACTGCGGAACATTTTGAGCACCAGGTTGCCCAGGTGGTCATAATGTTATGGCTGATCGGTGTATATTTAAACATATATAAATACAAATGTTTGCACTACTACTATTTCAGTTTTGAAGACTGAATGTTTACCATCCTTTGTTTCACAGTGTGGGAGGTGGAGCTGACAGAGAGCAGCATCCTCTGAACACTTGATATCGAACAGCAGCCCTGCAGGCGTCTTTCCAGCTGATTGGAGGAGACTCTCATCCCATTGGACCGTCCTGTACAGCAGCTCTGTCTCCTGAGCCACAACAAACACCAGTCCAGTCACAGTACACTGGAACACACCTGGACCAGGACACCTGAACCTGTAGGACACAGTATGATTACTTCAAGCTTTCAGCCTGTTGGTCACATGATCTGTTGAGTTAAGACGTGCAGACGCTCTGTGTTTTTATTCATCTTGTACATTGAGTTTTCCATGTTTTAATCTTCCTTTCTGCACAGGTACACCTTGAACTTTAAAACTCTGAAATCTGAAATCCATCCAATCCCCAAGCAGACAGATCTTTAATTGTTCAGTTACTTCCAGCTGTTTTTCCTTGAGAACCAAAGTGGGCGTGTCATATTCTACAGGTGGTTGTGCAGCACTCTCTGTTGCTGATGCATCCTTGATTACAATGGTTCCACTCAAAACTGGTTGAAACGCAGGCCGGTTTAAAGAATCTTGAATAGAACCGGTTCAAAAACCAGAAATAATTTAGTGGAAAAGAGGCCACAGAGATCTGAACTTTTTCTAATTTTGTTTCCAAGACCTCTGGGTCAAGAAAGAAACACTGTAGGATTCATTCATCAACCGACACTAATGGTGCAGACACACGGAGGAATCGTGGCGAGCCGATGGGATCGTGGTTCCAAGATTCCAACGATGTAAGGAATTCAACGAAACTTTATTTGCCATTTGTGGCTTGCACACATAGAACGTTCATGTGGCGGCTTGTTGCTCAGAGAGTCAAGTCAAGTAATATAAAAAAGACACCCCACAGCAAGGAAGGACAAAAATGACTAATCTTATACACACTATATACCAGTTTTAAATTGGCAAAAACGCCATTAAAGTTGTAAATTTGCATTGTGAATTGCAAGGCAGGTGTAGGCTGTTGGGCAGTATTGCATATTGCTATAGGCCCCGGAGACCAACATAATAGTAATAATCATCGATGATATATTATAGTGGCGAAGTTGCATTGTAAAGTGGATTGCACAGGGTATATGGCACAGGCCCGAGACCAGTGTTCATTTTGTTTTGGCCCAGGAGAGTCCCCCCTCAACTGTGGCACGGGAAGAAGCTCTTATGAAAGGCGGTGTTCGTATTTGGTGGTGGATGCTGTCCGCTCGTCTGTGGCCTGAGGTTTGTTATGTGCAGTTTTTGTGTTTGAGCAGGGAGTGAGGCTGATGTAGTGCTGTCTCTGTGATGGTTTCTTCTCTGCTCTTTTTCTCGACAAAGCGCTTTGTGGTTGGGGTGAGATTTGGTTGGTCCCAATGGGAGGGAAGTTTTTTGTTCTAATTAATCCTTTGTTGCAGAAAGCCTTCCTTGTCTGTTGTAAGTTTTTTCCATAAGCAGACAGTGGAATGGCCTGTGGTTGTGGAGGGATGCCTTCTCTTCGGCTTTTTGTAGACGCTGGGTGAAGAGGGCACAGTGCAACCAGCCTTTTTCTGAAGCGAAGCCTTGAAATTTTGAAAATACAGTTCCTTTTTGCTTGGGCCTTTTTTTTACTTTGTTTGGCAGAAAGCATGTTCGAAAAGTCAGTTTTTTCAGAAATAGATGTTTTACTTTTGGTAAAAAAGTTGCGCCGAGGAAAAGTTTCCTGTTTAACTGTAAAGCCCCTTTCTTCCACCCTCAAGTTCCCGTTGATGATTGAGGGGCTTGCCAAAGGGGGGTGGGGTTTTTTTCCTTGAAAGTCCATGAATTGAACTGTCTTCGTGTCTTGTTTTCTGTTTGGTTTAGGCATAAGGGTTCGTTGTTCAAACCTCAACCATAAGGCAAGAAATGTTCGTTTACAGACTCCCACCGTAAAGCCCGAACCGTTCACCGCCTGATGAGCCCAGGATGTGGGGTTATCGTCCGCATACTTT